AAACGAAGCGATTTTCGTCGGTCAGCCATGATACTTTGCTATTTGAATAAGCGACTTTATAATATGATCAACTTCGCGGATTAAGGCAAGCTCAAAGCAAACACTGAATTTTCTGCCTCAAGACTACTTAGTTTTGCTTAATTCGGAAATGACACACGCCTCGCACCGAATTTAAATAATGAATACTCTATTTGTTCTTCGATATCTTCGAATTTTTGTTCGACACGCTTAAACAAATATACTATGTCTTTTTGTAATTTCGCATTATCGCGCTTCCAGTTGTCTATTTCCTGGTTGCAATCATTTGTCTGATTTTGCGCTATTGTTAATTCTAATTCTAACTCTCGAATTTTACTACTTTGTTCCTTTACCCTATAAATTAAACTATTTATTCTCGAGTTTTCATCTATGTTTGCACGACGATTTAGACGTGATACGCTTTGCTTGATAAACTAGGCTGTTGTTTGCCTAGTCATGTATATGCCTTTCTTTTTGTTTTCGTATAGTCTCCGTAACTGATATATCAACACGTCGCGTTAATACGCAAATTGGTTATTATACCGCGCTAGAGTTTGGGTTCTTATTTTGATTCTCGTTTGTTTTCACTAAATTATATTGTACCCTTTTAAATGAAAGAAAACGTTTTAAACAATTTTAAGTGCGTTTTATCGCAAAACTGACCTTATGAGCGGTAATATTTTACACAGTGTGTCCGAAAAAATAACATTTACCATGATTCTTATAATTCTAATACACTATAATACTATATTCGCGATTAACCTATGCTTCGGGTCCCTGTTCGGGCGCCATTTTGTGACTTATTACATACAAGTCGGGTTTTTCTGCGACCCGAAGCGCTCGCGAATCTAAGTTGACGGAGTGGGAAAGCCAAGTGAATTTCCGTCTAGCAAACGAACAGCCTTGTCGTTTACGTCGGGAACTTTCAAAAGGCCGAAATAAAGGAATTTGGTTGTTTTTTATTATTGCGCTCGTACGTATCACTGGTCAGAGGATACATCGGAGCACAATACTCTATCTGCCTCTCCTCTTGCCTGATAGGATAAGGTATTTCGGGATGTATAATGTGATGTTCCTCGTTTAACGATGTGGTCAGGTCGCGCGTTAGCAGAGGTAGTCACGTCAGTTCGCTAGGAAGGCCAGAGCAAGAGTATCCCACCAAGCTCGTGCGCTCTTCTATATACTGTTTTCGCGTATGTTTCTTATTTACATTTATCCCTAAGCCTATTGAGAGTCTGCGGACTTCGTCAGTTCGTTGGGCTCTCCTTTCTGTGTTTATATTATTGAGTTCGATTATGTATATGTTACAAAGATGATCATTGTTTTTGAGATATTTGAAGCCTATTTGACTATCTTAAATTATCAACAATTGCTTTATTAAATTTAAAAATAGTCTACGAAACTGACTCGCGTAACGCATAATTATAATAATTTGAAGTGTTGAATATTGATTTTCGTGTAAATTACTAGAAAAAATGTTTACAGAAAAATCGTAAAAACTAGCGAAAACGTATAAACACCAGGAATGTTTATGTACGTATGAATTAAAATAAGAATTATGAGATCTACAGTTATTAAAAGTATAAAAAATATGAATAAATAATAAAAATATTACATATGTAATTTGAATCACGGACTAATCAGAACGTAAACATTAGTAACTTTAAAAATTTTAAATTCAATATTCAAAATAATAAAATTAATAACAACATTTAAAAGATAATGAAATGTTTACGGTTTCACTTGAATTTACTGATTTTTTATATTTTTCATTTTTCTATATTTTGCCTCTGATTTGGTTTTCTTTTGCTGATTTTCTACTTTGCGCTTTTGATTATTGTCCCTCGGACAATTTTATTTGGAAATTACCGGTTATAAATAAGCTATGCAATGGTAGTCGATTTAATTAATCGATCCGTTCGCGATTTTGCTTCTCGCGCGTTAGTTCGAACAATTAAGAGAAAGAGGGGGCGCGCGATCTTTCAAAATAAGCAGTTATGCCTCAGCTGTTCACGCGAGTTTACCGCCAATTTGTGTTTTGCACTTTGTTTCACCAAAATTAAGTTTTGTTGGGACAATTACGTGTGTATGTGCATCGGCATTTCCGTGACAGTTGATAGCAGAAATATAGAAGCAGCATCAAAGTTAAATTGAGGATCGAGATAGCGCAGCTGATTAATCGAGGGGCAGCGGCAGTTGAAATTTTGCATCAACTATTACGACTGATCACTGTAATTGCACCGCATGGTAGGTGCACCTTCCGTCATTACGAGGGTGGTCCGATAAGTACTTAGCCTAAAAAAAAAACGAAAATTTTGAAAAAGTGGCCTTTTATTTTTCAACATAGTCTCCTTTTAGTTCGATACACTTGGCCCAGCGATGCTCCAACTTCTTTAACCCGTCTGAAAAATACGTTTCCTCGAGGTCTGAAAAGTAGGCTTCCGTGGCAGCGATTACCTCCTCATTCGACTTAAATTTCTGCCCGGCGAGTGACTTTTTCAAGTTTAGAAACAAAAAGAAGTCGCATGGGGCTAAATCTGGAGAATACGGTGAATGGGGCAGCAGTTCGTAGCCTAATTCGACCAATTTGGCCATGGCGACTGCGGAGGTGTGAGCCGGTGCGTTGTCATGGTGGAAGAGCACTTTTTTCTTCGCCAAATGGGGCCGTTTTTTCTGCAATTCGACGTCGAATCGGCCCAATAATTCGGCATAGTACAGCCCTCTGACCGTTTTGCCCCTCTCCAGTTAGTCGATGTAGATCACACCTTGTAAATTCCAGAAAACGGTGGCCATGACTTTTCCGGCCGATGGGGCAGTCTTCGCCTTCTTCGGAGCACTTTCGCCGGGTAAAGTCCACTGTTTCGACTGTTCCTTGGTCTCTGGTGTATAACAGTGGATCTATGTTTTGTCGACTGTCGCGAAACGACGCAGAAACTCCTTCGGATTGCGCTTAAACAACGTCAGACATTGCTCTGAAGTTGTCTCACGGTTGCGCTTGTTGTCCGGAGTGAGCAAACGCGGTACCCATCATGCCGACAGCTTTCTCATGCCCAAAATTTCATGCAGGACATGACCTACGCGATCTTTTGAAATGCCTACGATCTTAGCTATCTCGCGCACCTTCAATCGTCGATCTTGCCAATACGAGATCGTGAATTTTTGTCACGTTATCCTCCGTGGTAGCCGTTTTCGGAGCACCTGGACGTGGCTCTTCAAAAATCGACGTGCGACCACGTTGAAACTCGTTAAACCAATTTTTGACGGTCGCCATCAAAGGAGAAGAGTCGTCGTACACAGCATCCAAGCGCTTTTTGATTTCGCTGCGTGATTTCCCTTCCAAAATCAAGAATCGAATCACCGACCGATACTGCTCTTTTTCCATTTTTCAAAAATCAACGGACACACTTGCTTTCACATGCTCTCAAAAATAAACTACAACTCCGATCCGGCTAAAATCTTGAAATTAACCATCGAGAAGGTTGTACTACGTGATAGAATATTTCTTTTGCGAGAGTGGCGCCATCGGGCGGTGAGGCTAAGTACTTATCGGACCACCCTCGTATATGCGATACAAAATAAATTCGGTATTTTGTCTAATCGTATTAGCTATATTTTTTGGTATTCGCGTCGAGCGTTAGTTCGCGGTAGAATTCGAATCTTCTCTCTCTCTTTTTCCCCGAACATAGTTAATTGTAAAATCCTATTCGCGTGCGTTAGTCTTTCGGCCCTACAAAGACTGTAGTGATTTTTATTAATTAAAGTTTGTTATATTTATTCGCCGTTTTCGTCATTTAATTTTCCTAGTAGCTTAAGTAATTGAAAAAGGCTTAGGTTTTAATCTTATTACATCTAGGGGATTAAGAAGATTAGGAGTAAAGTCGCTCACACTTAAAACTCATCGAGTGTCACAAGACACGTGACTTAAGGTGAGTTCAACTCGGTTTGATAGAAGACAACTAAGATAAATCATCTGACGTTAAGGCGAATACACGTACTACCATACGTGTTTAACGGAGCGGCGGTCTGCTCTGCATCGTGGGAGTTTGTTCTTAAGTAAATTTCCCATTTTTCAGATAACCTCCCCCGTTACAGCTAATTGATTTTTTAATTTTACTACAGTTGGTTTAAAAAATTTTGAAGTATAAAACTAAATTTTTTCTCAGTATTTCAAGCTTTTTTAATAAAATATCAGCTATGTAATTATTGCCTGTGTCTGAAATAGCTTGAAAATCCGAGTATTTTTCTTTCAATTGCCCTCACTACTAATTAAACTATATAAACTGCTGGTAAATCAATCGTAAGATTTCAAGCTTCGACGCTATGTAATTCTATTTTTATTTTATGCGTTTTTTAACTATCTGTACTTCAAAAATCAAGTGACAGTCATTTTCAAGCCGATAGTAATTGTTGCACCTGACTGATATTGTGTTCATTAGCAAAATAATCATCAATGTATGAGTTTTTTACAAAATTGCATATAGCTTTTGCACAAGCTCAAATTATTTAGCGTCCGTGTTTTTCGGATAATGTTTTGTATGGAGATGATTTTAATCCAAATATTAGACAATTCATTTTCAATTCATCTGGTTTTCATGATATAATCACGCGGATCCTTGATTTAAGCTTACTGTTACACTCACGTTGTTTGAATGGAGCTCTTCCATCGATCGTGGCATAAACTACTGCCAATCTTAACGTCTTCATCAGTTTCATCAATGATTCTTTTTCATTTTCACTCACACTTTTGTGCTTTAATCAATACATTCAAAGTTTGTTGAATATCATACGTACTTTATTCATACTATCACTTAATTTTGAAGATTTTATTCAAAAATTAAGGATATCTATGTATTCATTTGAAACCATATATATTGCATATGAAACCAACCAACAATTCCTCTACAAAAGTAAACAGCATACTTCTCTAGTAAAATACGCTAATTATGAAACTTCAAACTAAGATTCATTATGTGTCATTTCAGGGTGATATTTGGGCAGAATCTTGTTTTATGGGCTTTCTTTGGTATTACTACGCATGTATGGAAGGTGCTGTATATGATGTGACTGATTGGGCAGCCTGTCAAGCTCATAGTTTGAAATACCTTAAAGCTAATATACATGCCATTCAATACAGAATAGTTTTAGGTCAGCGACCAATTTTCGACAGCATTAATTCTAATAATATTAAAAAAAAGTCAACTAACTCAAATACAAGGTATTTATTTACATCTAAATTGTTATTTGTATTAAACTTCTATAGTTTATAATAATATTACTTTTATATATTACCATACAATATATTAAAAGATCTTAATTTCCATATCTATTCTAAAATAACTTATTTTACATTATCGTTAAACATAAACAAAAGTATAGCAGGATAACACTGTAATTTTGAAAACATTGAATAAATTAAAATAAATCATAATAAATAATCGTTTTAACAATATATTAAAAATAACTTTTATCTCCATAGATATCAAGCAGATTTAGAAGATTTTCTACATAACTTTTATAACCATAACAATGGCCGATCAAGCTGTACAATGAGTTCGAATTTAATGAAAGGAGACAATCGACGACGCAAAACCAAGCGAAAGAAGTAAAACGCGTGAAATATATTTTTTCTGTATAGTTATTTATACTTATTAAAGTGCTTAATGATTAGTTGAATATATTTTTTGAATAATTGTTGGTTACAACAAAAATTAAATTTATTAAACTTTTTTAGAATCTTTATTCATAGTATCATTTGATTTAAAAATATTCGAATATTTTAAAATTCACAGAAATATTATGGCGTAGAAGCATAAAGATTATAATTTTCATACATATGTAACATATTGATGTCACTTGTCGTATTGCCTAAGGTGTGTTCGTATGAGTATGGATCAAATTTGAATTATTAAAAATAAACAAATATCCTAAAACGCAAACATTGTAAACCTATGTACCTTACCTTTTGCATAGTTCTCACGATTGTAAAACAACTTCTGAAAATCATAATCACTTGATATGCGAAAATTCTAACCTCGTTAGACAATAAGCAGGTAGTCAAAAAATTTCTATTTTGCCTCAAAACAATCAGATTTAGGTCTAAACAGTTTATTTTTACCGAATTGATATTGTATGATACTCTGAAAATAGGCCTTATTTTCATTGCTTTGGCTGCACGTATTCAACCTTAATTCGTGCAAGAAGAAAGAAATACAGAGGAATATCTAACCAAAGGAAAGGGAAGAGGAAAACGAATACTGATTTGTCTACGTACTAACAGAGGATGCTTTTTTTCCCACATAAGGGCCAAAAAAATATAGCAACTATGAGGTAATGTTGTTACTTTGTTTTTGTAGTTATAGGATTATGTATTATCAACAAAATACGTGGAAATTCAAATGTAACTAAAAAAATTTCAATTTTATCGTTTTTACTCATTTCATTTTATATCGATTTAGTAGTTTATTTATTACACTATCACAATTTTGCTTTTTTATTTTAATTTCATTTTAAATAAACTTAAGTCACACGCCATATTTCCTAGATGAGGATATTATAAGTACAAAATTTATACACCTTAGTGTGACATACTATCACTTATCGTATTTTATCTAAGTTATGATTGTATGAGTGTTGATTTAATTTAAATTATTGTCTTATTCTACATGATAAATGTATATCGTTTCATGGTTTATGTTTGTTGATTGTAAATGGGCACATTGCAACGAGAAAATAATGTCAAGAAAAAAAACAAATATTGATAGAATGAAAATTGATATGACGAAAATACATTTATAAAGAGTCGATACGAGTATGAATAATTTTATAAAAATCAATTTTTTGTCTTTTCAAGCTCTTTTATAACGAAGTCGAAATCACGATCTTAGTAACACTTGCAACAAAGAAAAGTGAAGCGAGAGAGTGAAAAGAGAGAGAAACTACTACTAACGGAGAGAGACGTTTATAGAATATCAGATCAATTTACAAGGGCTTATAGTTCCTCTTTGACCGCAGGATCTTGAAAGACGTTTATGTAGCGAGGGAAGTAAAAGAGAAAGCTTTTGGCAAAAACTAAAATAAGCGAAATTAGGAAGGACGCACCACGTAGCTGCAACGAGAGAAAACTTCTCGACTTGATTTTGAGTTCTTATTGTACTGATAGGCGGACTCTGATAAACTCCTAGTTAAAGTAGGCGGTTTTCATAATTCAAAAACGAAAATTATTATTTTTCCATACTGAAATAATTGGTTTTAATTAAACTAAGAATAATTTTTAATTCTAAAAGTTATTTTTAGCATATGGTTAATTGATATTTTTGAAGTGGCATCCCAACGCTCGAGTGGCCGTTATCAGTTAAAATCTTATCTGTCATCAAAAAGATCAAGCTACCAAAATGTTAGTAAAAATCATTTTCTCTCGTTTTTGACACATAAAAATACAACTACCTTAACGAAAGTTGTTGATATAATTCAATTGAACTTTCCGATCCAGTGCTATCTGGACGGTTCTCATTCATTTTTGATTTTTTGAATAAGTATACTTTACCTGGCTGTCTTGAAATTGATGTTGAATAAGGTGTCAGAACTATACAATGGAAGACTTTAAACAATCTCGCTTTTCCGTAAACGCTCTAAGTATAATAAAACTAAAATAGTTCAATTTTTATAATTCAAAAGCCAAAAATGATTATATTGTAAAGTAGAAGAGATTGCTCAATATTCTATTTAAAATAAATTGTTTGTTAAAAAATGTATTTATTTACATATAGAGTAAATGACCGCTTGGAGCGCAGCTAGAAAAAGTCGAGCGAGGAGTGAGTCAAGCCCGTCAATGCAGATACCGGTACGCGCACGACCTTTCCGTCCTAGTTAAACTATCTGTGCTTCAAAACGTCGCCTAATCAATTTATAAATAAACGACTGTGTCAACGAGCAATTTTCCGTGAAAATAACATGAAATAGTCACTTGTACGAAAAAAAAGAATATTAGTTTTTGAGTTATAAAAATTGGACTACTTTAACCAAATTTGATAATAGTATTCAAAACCTATTCACGTTTAATTTGAGAAAAATGTATAAGGAGTAATTTTTTGAAAAATAAAGTGATCATCTATTTACTATCAAGTTGAAAGGGAATGTTTCCAATACAACCATTTTTTTATATTTAATTACACTAGCACGCATTCTAATCGAGCTATAAGTGCCCACATTTTTTATTTTCATCTTATCAAGAATGCGCCTTTTTTCTAAACTTATAACGGGGTTTTGACCCAGCGCGGGTCGCTTGTTATATAATTTACGAGGGAGTTAAGAACAGCTCGGAGTGGGCCTCGTAGTAGGCTGTGCGAAGCCTAACCCAGCAGCAACAGAAACGACGTGGTACAGCGTCTGTTATCTTAGCCCGCAGAGAGTGTCGTGTGGTCCTATGGGCGCTTTTGAGCGATCACGAAATTCAGGTGCGAGGGCAGGACGGAACGGGATTGACTACGATAGGTAAGGTGCTCAGAGAAAGAAAGCAGATATACAAACAGCATTGAGTTTACTACTGAGAGAAGTACAGAGTTAGGACGCAGCGTAAGCGAGAGAGAGAGCGGCGAAAGGTTAGCGAGAGAGAGATACGTATTCGAAGTGGTACTTACAATAACGTTTCAGCGTCAGCCCTGGAAACGGTGCCCTCAGCCTCGCACGTGGCTCGCGAGGACGCGCAGTGTACAGCTCGGGTGCAGTCAGGAAGCGGGCGGCCTTAAAGGCTCGCACGCGTAATCGCAGGAACTAGCCCACCAAGGACGCTAGGGGCAATCTTGGCACCGAAGTCTTGCACCGAGTGGACGCTCGCGTACTCGCCGGAAACGCCGAAAAATCGGTCACGGAGAATAAGGTCGCAAGCACGTGTATAGCTACTCGTGATACGTCCGCACATGTCGAAGTCGCCGATACGATGATGAATCCCCCACTCTCGTTCTCGCGCGCGTCGCGTCGGCTTCCCGAATTCTCTCTCTCTAATTCGCCCTCTATTAGCGCTCTCTCTGACTTATCTTTGGCTGCCATACATGTGAAATAGATATATGACAAATATATATATATATATATATATATATATACATATATATATATATATATATGTGCTAATCCGGGGTCAGAAAGAGGGGTTTCCATTACAAAAAACACTTCGACCTTGAAATGACCATCAAAATGAGGTTAAAGGTCAAAGGTTTTTGGTGCATTGAGTGGCCTACTCTGTTCTGAACAAATTTTGTAGAGGTCATTTTTCGATATCTTAAAAATTAAAAAAACGCTTTTAGGCAGTTTTTCAAGCATTTGACCTTAAATCGACCTTCTCAAGGCCATGAAAAAAAATTTAAAAACACCGTTTGGACGTAAAATTTCCCGCTCTTTCGATTGCCGTTGTCAAAAATAGGGGTTCCCATTTAAAAAAACAAAGTTGACTTTGAAATAACCTTGAAGGTCAATCTCAAGGTCAAATCCAAGGTCACCATCGGATTCCGCGTTGAAAGTTACTAAAGGAAATACCTTGACCTTGGTCTAATAATCTGTACCTAAAAAGCTACAGCCTTGTTCCGTTACTTATTTGACACCTTGTATATATATATATGAGGATAATTATAATTATGTATGGAGAGAGAGAGACATAACGAGGGTCTGGCCTCTCGTTATAAACTGTAAAAGTATAAAACAAAAGATATCGTAAGTATTGAACAATTTTGTAAAATTTCATTGTTTATATTGAGTCACTTTTTTTTCCTGAGTTGATGAAATCATTAGCTTTTTTCATTCAATAAATGAGGAATTTTTTATTCTAATATAGATTTTTATAAAAATATTTGAAAAACTATCACATTCTTCGTGAGATGAAAAATCATTTAAAATTCCGATGGTACTTATAGCTTGCTTAGAAATAAAATTATAGCAAATTAAGTAATTAAATATTTTGTTGTCACTAATTTATTCGCCTAATTTGCAATATCTCTCTTTTTTATATTAATATTTCTTCAATTTGAATAAAAAGAGCGTATTCATTATTAAATAACAAATCATTTTACATTATCCCTGCATCTACATGAGTAGAAAAAAAGCTATCATTGTTTAAACAATTAAGTTGTTAATATCTATAAAAACTGTCTCATACAACTAAACACCTGTTGGATTTTGATTCATAAAAATAGAAAACCTTAACTAATTTTATGAGACATCGAACGGCTTCAAAACCTCCTCGGCCCCTAAACTAACAATCAAAAGACTTTGATTTACTCAATTTACGTATCTTATCAGATTTATATGCTTATCTTTAGCTTCTTCGTAAAAAATTAATAAAGACAATGATTTTCCGAAGCACTTTAAACATCTCTATGCATTCTATTAAATCGAATTTCTAAATTAAGTAATTGTAAAAAAATTGCCCACAAACTGATTTAATTTCCCCACTTGACTGACATTAAATACAGTCAATAAGTATTTTATAGAATTGAAAAATTATTATCGATGCAACGGTAGTCGATTCAATTAATCGATCCGTTCGTGATTCTGCTTCTCGCGCGTTAGTTCGAACAATTAAGAGAGAGAGAGAGGGGGCGCGCGATCATTTGAATTTGCAGTTACGCCTCAACTGTTTACGCGAGTTTACCGCCGATATTGTTTTGCACCGTGTTTCGCCGTTATTAAAGATTTTCTCGGACAATTACGTGCGTGAGTGCAACGACGGTATTGCAGTAGCAAGTAGCAGCAGTGCAGAAGCAGTATTGCAACAGATTAAAGGCAGAGTAAGGCAGCGCAGCTGATAAATAGGAGGGCAGCGGCAGTTGATATATTTCATCAACAATTACGGCTGATCACCGTAATTGAACCACAGGGTATGTGCACCTCCCGTTATTATTGCATGACAAAATACATTCGGTATTTTGTCAATCATGATAG